GAGCCCTCGAGATACCAACCATGTCCAGAGTTCTACCATATTCTTAGATCCCCATGATAATTGGTAGAGCCATGTTTCAACAGAACTCTCTCCTCCTAGATCCACCAGTCAAAAAATTTGGTCAACAGCATTCACATAATGGAGAGATATTATAAATTAATAATTATGCATCTCGTTTTATTTTATTTTCTGAAGGTAGGACTAAATGTCTATGGAGACTCTCAGTCATCCAGGTCATGGTTGTTTCAAAGGTGCTTTTTCAAAAGACAACTGGACTATGGTTTATTTTCCCCTTGAGGAAGAAGATGTTTCACTTCTCATCCAAGAAGCTTCATCAGTTCTGGCTGGATGAGCGGGAATGGAAGAATTAGTTCTAACAGGATGTTGGGGAGGATGGAAGGATTATTTTTCTTTGTAGTCATCTGGGTGTTAGCACTCCCTGTGAGAGCAATTGAGGCCACTTAGGGGTTTGAGGTCACAGATAAACCCTCCAAGTCACCTCAATGGCTCTAAGAGAAAGTACTAACAACCAGATGACGACAAAGAAATGTAATCTTTCCACATACTCTCCACATCCTGTCAAAACTAATCCTTCCATCCACCTCCGATCCAGCCAGAACTGATGATGCTTTTTGGATGAGAAGTGAAACATCTTCTACTTCCTCAAGGAAAAAGAAAAACACGGTCCAGTTGCCTTTTTAAAAAAAGCATCTTTGAGACTGAAGATAGATCATTTTAACTGCCCCTATGTCAGGGTCCAAGAACCAAGAAAGACATGTGGAGTTATTTTTGAGTAATTTCCTTTATTGTTTTTTTTTAAATCAATAGACAGAATCTTGCCAGACTAAAGCGACTATTTGCATAATGATAGATATACTCTGAGAATTGCTAGGGAGGAGCCCTAGCAGGGAAAATTAATTTCAAAGATTTACAAATACCTATTAGAATTCGATCTGGCAGAAAACATAGTTAAAGGTCAAATGATAGCTTGGGCTAGGAATATTGGAAGAAACATACAATTGGAAGAGTGGGAAATGATATGGGAAAATAATTATAGAATAACAAAAGCAACAACATACAAAGAGAACCATTATAAGATGTGGTACAGATGGTATCTTGCCCCAGCAAGATTGGCAAAGATGTATGCAAATTTCAACCCGATATGCTGGAAATGTAAACAAATACAGGGAACCTTTTATCATCTCTGGTGGCTTTGCCCAAAAATTAAGAAATTTTGGATAAAAATTAGAACCTGGATAATAGAAATAACGGAAGAAGATATTGATTTAAAACCTGAAATTTTTCTGTTAGATATACTCAAAAAAAAATAGTCGAAAGGAAATAAAGTACATTACGCTACATATAATCACGGTGGCTAGATTAATCCTAGCTCAATCCTGGAAATCAGAACAGTTGCCAACAGAGCAGCAAATAATCCAAAAGATATTCATATGCGCAGAAATGGATAGATTAACTTTAAAATTAAATGATAAGGAAGACTCACAATACTTCAAAGTATAGGACAGATGGTATGAATGGATTAATCAATGGAAAAAATGGTAATGTCAAATATAGTAAGAAATCAAAGGTAACAAATATACACCATCATTAAGATAAAAGAAGCAAAGGTTAATGTATATATTTGCATTCTTATATATTATAGACAGGTAATTCCTGTTTGTTAGTTTTGTTTATAAGTAGTTTTGAATGTATTTTTAGAGTTAAGAACTTTTTGTACAATTTTTATCTTTTTATATTGAATAAAGTTTGTTTTAAAAAAAGAGAATTGCTAGGGGGGAGCCATTTTAAAATCTTCTTCATGCCAACTAAATGTTTGAAGCTATACAACCTCTTTGCCCTCTGGAATGCAGCCCCTATTACTAAATCTGAATTGACAAAATACTTTTTTTCTCGCTTTTATTTGGATCAGAAACTTTTACATTAGAATTCTATAAAATTTTGCATCTCATTTTCTTTCCACAATTTTATAGGGTTTATGAAAAATTGATCAATGGTTACAGTTACATGGGTCTTCTGTATTAATTCATCTTCTGTTTTTAATAGAAAGAAAAAGAATGTTGGTTGGAAACAGAAAGCTCTACGTTGTATAAATAGAAATAATATTAATTCAGTTCTATCAAAAGTTGGGAATATAATTCATTACATTAATTCATTACAATGCATAAAGATTGAGCCTTTTTTCCCCTCTGAAAAACCAGAAAGTTTTTTACCCAGCCAATAATAATAATAATAATAATAATAATAATAATGATGATGATGATGATGATGATGATGATGATGATGATGTTAATACAAGATTAAGATGTATTTTGATGGTATACAAAGATATTCTTTCTCAAAACTATATCCATTTATTAGTATGATCAGAAATGGGAACTACAAAATCTTTGAAAATGATATGAGAATTAGAGACAGAAATATCAAACTGTGAATGGAAGCAGAAAACATCAACAACAACCTGTTCCTAGGTTTCTCCTCAATAGCTTCAGAGAACTCATGCATAAATATTTTACATACTTGGCATCTTACCCTAGTTAAAATTCATAAATAACAATAAAAACTTAGAAGCACCTTTTTACATATGTGATGGTCATGTCTAAAAGGTAGTAAATTTGGGGATATATAATTTCAGGAAACAACATTAGTAACAAAGAATAGAGAAAACAACATATTTAGGGCTTTTGTCATTATTTTCTAATGTGGATATATTTTTCTGGTATGGATACAAAGACACACATTTTTATTGCTGAATGCTAGCTTAGTAATAGAAAAATTCTGGAAACACATATAACATATTAGCCTACTTTTCTTTAATGGAAATATTAACATATAAATTGAAATCAGTTGAAGAAAATAAGGGAAAAAGGGTACCTCACCTCCAATCCATATTTCATGACAAATCTTCCTTTCCTAAGATTTTCTTTCTTTGAATGCGTCTCTGGTTTCATTTTCTATTAAATATTTCAACTTATGTTCCATGTATAAAACCACTAATGAGATTGACTATTGTCAGTTCCAGGAATTCTAGAATGTTTGTTTCTTTCTTTTGTATGCTTTGAGGTATTACCTCGAATATAGACCTTCCTGTATTTTCTATATAATTTATATAGAATAGACCTTCCTGATGATACAACAGTGGTGAGACTCATCTCCAGGGAGGGATGAGTCTGCCTAAGATGAGGTGGACTGGCTGTTTTCGTGGTGTGAAGATAATAATTTGGTCCTCAACACAAATAAAACCAAGGAGCTTATAGTGGACTACAGAAGGAATAGATCAGACATCCAGCCCTTGGTTATCAATGGAGACCAAGTGGAGCAAGTGACCAGTTTCTGGGTGTTATCATAAAAGATTACCTGACCAGGGGCGCTCACATTACAGCACTGGTCAAAAGGGCCCAGCAGAGATTATACTACCTGAGACTTCTCAGGAAACAACAGAATGAAAAACTGCTGGTGACCTTCTACCGCTGCACCATAGAGAGTATTTTACTTACTGCACCTGTGTATTGTTTGCCAATTGCACAGTGGCAGATAGGACAGCACTCCAGAGGGTTAACATCATTTCCCAGAGGATTATTGGTTGCCCTCTCCACTTCTTGGAAGAGCTTTATAGCTCCCTCTGCCTTAAGAAAGTTCAAAACATTCTTAAAGATCCATCTCATCCTGGGCACCCTTTTTTTGAACTATTACCATCTGGCAGGCAGTACAGGGTAATAAAAACAAGGACAAATAGTCTGAAAAACAGCTTCTATCCCAGAGCAGTAACTATATTGAATTCTACTGTATAGTGCAATATTAACGCAGAATCAGGCGTTTTCAATTTAATTGCAGAGAATGTGAAGGATGTGTTTGTTTTGTTGTTGTTGTTGTTTTTCTTATGTATAATGTACATGGAAGATGGCATTTAATTTCATTGTACGAGGTGCAATGACAATAAAGTACTACTACTACTGCATTTTCTATAGAATTTTATAGAATTTCTATAGAATTTGAACAGCTAGGCAAGCAGATCCTGTTAAGTCACTGTGTGGGTTTGTTCTGTGCTTTGCTTGATGTGTGAATTCAGTAATTGTGATGTTATGTGTGAATTAAAAAGAAGAGTTAAAATTTAGTATGATATGCAAATAAAACCATTTTTTCAGTCTTCAGGTTTTTGTTTTACCTATTTTGTTCTTCTATACTGTACAATCAAGGATAGCAAATCTCCCATCTTAATCAGAGAATTGTATCATTAACACAGAACAAGAGCTGGTACCCCTTTCCATGTGCCACTGACCTGTGAATTTTCTTTTACTCTTCAGTCTTTTTAACTTCTAATCATACCTAACTAGATACTTTGTCTCATATTCATCCTACTCTGATTTGAGCAGTCAGAAGCCACCTTATTCCCAGGTAAGACTTTCCAACTTCTGATGATATTTTTTTTCATCTCTGACATTTGTATGCAATATCAGAGAAGAAAATAAAGAAAGGGGAAACACAATTTTCCCTTCAAAATATAGTGTTATTGATATGCAAATTTAAGTGATTGCTCAGTTTAAAAGAATCGTGCAATAATCAACTTTCTTCAGTTGACTGGCAACCTTAATTTTAAGATGTTTTGGAGGAATTGCTTTTTAAAATCTTTGAAGGTCTTGAATTTAACTGTTTGTCCTAGAAATCATACACTGCATCTTCCCTGTGCCAACTCTCTGATGTACACCTATATAAATATGCACACAACAAAAGCAGATGGCTTTTTATGAAGGTATTGGCATCTGTAAATCTCCTTGTCCTAAATGTCAGCAATGTCCTTCTAGGGTAATTTTGTTTGAACTATAGCTTTTTTTCAGGTGGGTAAATTTGCATGAGCACTCTCCTCTACATATGTAATAATCTTTTTCTTTTTTTCTTTTTTTAGTCCTTCAGAAATATTGGAGGTGAGCTTCTATTTCCCATGATCGCATCCAAAACTGAAATTAATTTATTCATGTTTGCAGGAATCTGATACTATTGCTATAGAGCTGTGATCTTTTCTACAAAAGTCCATTTCAGGCTGACCATTATCTGGGTAATAATTCTGTAGCCTATACCAATGAAATTTGTAAGTATCTCAATTATATTAAAAATCACATGTTCTAACACCCATGGCTTCTGCCAAGGAAAATTGCTAATATGCTGTGTCACGTATATTAATCAATACACATGGGACAATGATATTACAAGTAGTGCTTGAGTTACAGCCAGACACTTAATCTCTGGTTGCAGTCACAGTGGCCTTGGAATGGGCGCTTTTATAACTGATAAAGTGCTTCTGGCCATCAAAAAATGTCATACCACCTCCTGCCCCCAGGTATATGACCACATTTCGGACACTTGGCAACCTGATTGCATTTACCACCCACGTGATCACTATTTGCAATTTTCCTCTAACATGCTGGAGTAATAAACCTCAAATCTGTCAATAATGCAACAAATGTCAACATTAGGAACTCTTTACAATGCTGACATTTGCCGCTATAACCATCCTTCTCTGAGGGGAAACTCCTCAGTGCACTGGAGGAATGGACCTCAAATGTGGCAAAAGTTAGAGAAAATGTCATAATTATTCTCCCTCATGTGGTGGAGAGAATTGATGTTCATGAGGCCCTGGATCCTCTCCCTGGTGATTTACTTAATGGCATGTGTGATGATTTAATGACCACAAGTGGAAGAGTCAGGATTGCAGTCATTGAGTGAAGCATCATGTGGCATCTCTCTTAATGACTGCCTTGCTCAGTGACCAAGATTCCAGACCCAATTGTGGTCATAAGTAGAGATAAGGGTAAAAGTGAAGGAATCCCTGTAGATTTTATTCTTTACTTTCCTCCATGTTTTGTGTCAGATGGAGAAATAGAAATATTTTCCTACGGGAAAAAAATATTGGCATAAAATTGTATCACTATTTGTAGTCTGAAATGTAACAGTATAACAGATAGGCCTATTTGTCAGAAGCCCTCTTGAAACCTCTGAAGAGTTTTGTCCCTTCACTAAGGGAGTATTTGTTTTTTATGCAAGCAATCCAAATTATTTTTAAGGCCATTTGAGACAAAATTCCTCATGTTTTGTTTTTCACTCATACCTATTGAGAATTATTCCTCTGCAATTTTCCTTAGTGAAAATATCACTCCTTCATCATCCTTTTAAAGGACCTTCATCCATAACATTCTTGTGTGCAGGTTCAGTGGATTCCAGTAATATATTTCTGTCACACCACTTAAACAACTCTCTCTCTCTTTGAATGCACAATTAGACACACTCTGGCAAATACACAGTGTTGTTGACAGAGATCTGACACCTACCAAAGTATCTGAAATAAGTGTAGTTCAGCATCAATTGTAATGATTGCCACAAGGAATTATTGGCTACATAAGTTCATCAGGGCTATGCAAACTATTTAGAAGATGCTCTTTGAAACACGCAGGAGAGCAATTGTTTTTAAATCATTAAAGCTGACAAATTGTTCTGTTTTTGTTCATGCAGATGTTTTAGAAGCTGCTCTGACTATCTCTACAGATTCCAAAGCAGCTGTAAAAGCCTGGGAAAAGATGCAGCAGCTTTAACTGTCTAAAAACATGTGTTTTCTATGCCCTCTTGCATGATCTGAAGCTCCTCTTTGAGAAACTTTCTCTTCCTAGAGAAAGAGATAAAAAGCATTCTACCCAGGAATTTGAACTCAATTCTTGATTTATGTTTGTTTTGCAAAGCACAGGTTTTTTTTATTTACTTGAAGACGGTTTAAGATTTATGTCAGTGTTGAATCATATCTCGGGCAACTGCAAACCGCATCATTTTATTTATTTTTTTTGCAATTTCTTTATGATGTTTCACATAATGTAGATCTTCAGAGATTCACAAGACTCATACCATTATTATTTTTTTTTAATTTGATTTATATGCCGCCCTTCTCCGGAGACTCAGGGCGGCTTACAATGTGCTCAGCAATAGCCTTCATCCTTTTGTATATTTATACAAAGTCAGCTTATTGCCCCCACAAACTGGGTCCTCATTTCACCTACCTTAGAAAGGATGGAAGGCTGAGTCAACCTTGAGCCTTGGCGAGATTCGAACCCTGCAGTAATTGCAGGCAGCTGGTCTTAAGCAGCTTAATAACAGGGTGCCTTAAACCCCTGTAGTACCAAGGCTCTTTCGTTTGTAGCAAAGAAGCACTATTCTGCAGTCTGCTCAGAATTTTTTCTTTTAGACTTTTCTGCTTTAAGTTGTTTGTTGTGCTTTTAACTGATCTCAGCAACTTTCGTTGATTTTATTTTATTTATTTATTAAATTTACAGGCAATCCATCCCACCATCAAGTGACTCTAAGCAGCTTGCAAAATTACAAAACTTTGTAATTTATGTGTAACTTTAATATTTAATGTTAAAAAATAATGCTCGGTATTTATGTTATTTGTTTAAATAACTTTTTCTTTTATTTTGCTTACCTTTTGTAAGAATCCTCTACCCAATGCCTAAACACTATGTAGCCAGTGTAGGCAATATATAAATTGTGTCAATATTTGTGTAGGTGTATGTGTTTTTACTTTTTATCACAGTATAGTATATCAGAGTGCTGTCACATACACTAGAGTTAGGAGACGGATGCCAGCTTAAGTACCCTGATGGAAAATAGGTAATTACAGTAGGAACAACCAGTGTTAAAACACTGAGAGCCTTGGTGGCGCAGCAGACTAAAGTGCTGTTAAGTAACACCAGCTGCCTGCAATTACTGCAAGTTCAAATCTCACCAGGCTCAAGGTTGACTCAGCCTTCCATCCTTTCAAGGTAGGTAAAATGAGGACCCAGATTGTGGGGGCAATAAGCTGACTTTGTATAAAAAAAGAACACTGCTTGGGGGGGGCGAAAGCCCTACTAAGCTGGTACATACAAAAGTATGAAGGTTATTGCTTAATGCATTGTAAGCCACCCTGAGTCCCCTGAGTCTCCGGAGAAGGGCGGCATATAAATCGAACGAATAAATAAATAAATAAATAAAATCAGGCGGCTTCTTGGAGCTCTTCCATGAACCCTGCTATCTACCACAAAATATTTCTTAATAAAATTCCTGCTCCATATAGCCTGTTTTTAATCCTGTAAACTGTGTAAGAAAATCTTAACAACCATTATTTATAATGTTCCTGAAATTACTAAAGTTATGTATTTATTTAGCATATGGCAATGTTACATTAGCCAGGAGATTCCAATGCTAATACAAAGTAGTAATTTGGCTGCCTAAGACTTCTAGCCCATTCTAGCACCACAGAGAGCAAGCAAGCTCTGCACCAGAAAGAAAAATGAACAGCATCCTGCAGCATCATCTAGAACAGGGGTGTTGATCTCACGACATTACATTGCTGTCATGTGAAGTATCGTGACTTTTCTCCCCTTCGCTAAAATGGGGGTGGGCGTGGCCAACGCATGACGCATCTGGCGGTGGGCCGCGAGTTTGACATCCCTGATCTAGGGTCTTCTTCCTTCACAGAAGTCACCTTGCAAATGCACATTGCATCTGGGAATGTCCAGCGCTGGCAGAGTTTTGACTGACTGCACAAAGCACCAGCTCATCTTCCCACCAAAGTGATACCTATTTATCTATTTGCATATGACATGCTTTCGAACTGCTAGGTGGGCTGAAGCTGAGTCAAGTGATGGGAGTTCATCCCACTATGCAGTGTTAGGATTCGAACTGCCAGAGCAAAGATCATCTCCAGCATCCTTAAGCCACTGAGCCATCATGCATAATTACTAAAATTGAAAATTCCCTTCATATAATGTATATGTTACAGTTGCCAATCCATTCTGTACACTACACAATAACATTTCCATGTGAATAACTGAAACTAAATCCTATCATATACTCTGTTAGGGATATCTATCAAGATATTCAGCATACTAAAAAGCAGAGACATCACTCTGCCAACAAAAGTGTGTATAGTCAAGGCTATGATTTTCTCAGTTGAAATGTATGGCTGTGAAAGTTGGACCATAAGGAAGGCTGAGCACCAAAGAATTGAGGCCTTTGAACTATTGTGCTGTAGAAGACTGCTGCGAGTTCCTTGGACTGCAAGGTGATCGAACCAGTCAGTCCTAGAGGAGATCAACCCTGACTGCTCTTTAGAAGGCCAGATCCTGAAGATGAAACTCAAATACTTTGGCCACCTAATGAGAAGGAAGGACTCACTGGAAAAGCCTAATGCTGGGAACAATTGAGGGCAAAAGAAGAAGGGGACGACAGAGAATGAGGTGGCTGGATGGAGTCACTGAAGGAGACAGTGTAAGCTTAAATGGACTACGGTGGATGGTATAGGACAGGAAGGCCTGGAGGAACATTGTCAATGGGGTCATAATGGGTTGGACATGACTTCACAACATCATCAAGATATTTGAGAAATGTATCACATGATTATATCGAGAAGCTATGAGAAACAAATGTGTGGAGCAGGAGTGTGCAACCTCAAAGCCATATGAGGCTCCCAGATGTCTTTATAATACTACATATATGTGCAATACAATATAATGCTACATATATGTGCAATGTGTCAAGAGTTACTTTAGTAAACATACAAGGAGAGGGAATGGCAAACACAGAATAGCTGGCCTATAGACATTTAGAAGATGTTGCTTTTGAACAAATGCAATTCTTTCCTTTAGGAAAAAAAAATCCATATTTTCTTTGCAATAGTAAAGTATAAACCTGTGGCTCATGTTAAAGCAGGAAGAGACAATTGGCAGAAATAAAATATGTTCCATTAAAACTTTTTTAGAGAGAATTGTTTTGATCTGTTTTCATTGTTAGGAAGAAATGACAACCAGTATCTCAGCTACGATTATGCTGACAGCCTGCCTTTATTTAAAATGCATTTCGAATAAAAGTCATGCAATTGAATATACCCAAAGATTAAAAAAAAAAAAATCTGCTGAGATGATTCAATCTGAAGATTCACATTTAAAGACTGCATTATTTAACCAATTACTAAAAGACAACCATGTCATTTTGTGAGCGCTTCCATTGCTCAGTAGGATTCATTTCCTTGTGACTATCTCCCATGCTGTTCTGCAGATCCATGTGTGAAAAAAAACACACCAATCTATTCAACTGCAAGACTTTTATTCATAATGTTATTACCAGTAGGAAAATAAAAGTAAGTTATTCATTTTCAATATATTGTCACGCTAAGCAGTTCAATAATTCCATTTTTTTTTAAACTGTAAAGGTAATCTGCCATCAACTCTGAGAGCTAATTTAGAAATTTTAATGATAACATCCATGATGTTCATAGTTGTTTTATACTCAACAGTAGCATTATTGCTGTTATTTATTATCTTGTCTTTGTTTCCATAGGAAAAAGAAATTAATTGGGGCACCATTGCATCAACCACAATACATGCATTTAGGAAGAAGCATAATTGCTTCTTATGAGCACTCATTCCCTTCATGCAAAAATCTGTCTGTCTGAAATTTAGTACAGAAGTTTGCTACTCAGCAATCTCTTCAAGTTTAATGAACAGTTTAAATATAGATTGTGATGAGATTATCCCATCTATTCAGCTATAGACTGGGAAACTACCTCAGCACTAAACTGTTGTTGTTAGTTGCGAAGTCATGTCTGACCCATCGCGACCCCATTGACAACTTTCCTCCAGGCCTTCCTGTCATCTACCATCCTCTGGAGTCCGTTTAAGCTCATGCCTACTGCTTCAGTGACTCCATCCAGCTAGCTCATTCTCTGTTGTCCCTTTCTTCTTTTGCCCTCAATCCTTCCTTCTCATTAGGTGGCCAAAGTATTTGAGTTTCATCTTCAAGATCTGGCCTTCTAAAGAGCACTAAACTGTATCAAAACCCATATTACATACATTAATTGGGTGTAACATAATAAGATAACCTTTATTCTCACTTTTTTCTGAGAACACACTTGCACACATTAAAAAATGAAATTCTGATGCCCAGTTTCAAAAGTGTATTTGTGTGTGTGTGTGTGTGTGTGTGTGTGTGTGTATATATCTGTATGTGTATGTATGTATACACATATATACATATATATATTAATCACAGTCCATTTTGAATACAGAGTGGAAAAAACAATCTTGCGAGTTAACAAGGTTGATACTATATGGTACGAAGCTATTACAGAATCTAGTTGTTCTGCTTCAGATACCACAAAGCAGTAACAAAGAAAACTGATCTTGGAGAGGATGTGTAGCATCACTGAAAGTCTGTAGTGATTCTTAGTTATCCATGTCATGGTTGTCCCAAAGGTGCTTTTTCAGGAGGCAACTGGACTTCCTTGTTTTTCTTTGAAGATGTTTTGCTTCTCATCCAAGTCTGGATGGTCGGGAATGGAAGGATTTATATTTCTTGCAGGCAGATGGTAATTTGTATCCTTTTAGAGGGTTGTTGAAGCACTTGGAAGTTTATCTGTGTCCTCAGGTGTCCACGAGGTGTCCACTGAGTAGTGCTTTGGTGACTATACAGTGAGTTGTACTCAATGACAATACTGTGGACCCTGGTCAAGCAGCACTTATATGCTATGTCCTGAATAGAAAGAGCATATAACCTATAACCTATAACCCTATGTTATAGAGTATAACATAGCATAATATATAGGTTTCATGGTTTCAGTGTAGTTCTTTAAGACGACACAAAATTTCATTAGTGCAAAGTTTATTAATGACTTCAAA